GCTCGTCCAGGTAGGGCCGCAGCTGGTATAATTTCCGCAGCTGAAGGAAGGCGCCTCTGGCCACCGAGTCCACCTGGGCTTCCAAAGTTAGACTGGGGTCCAGGAGCACCCCCCCGGCTGCGGACCCTGTCCCTTAGGGGGAGTGTAACCCCATTCAGGGCAGGGAAATGGCCCCCCAACCTGTCCGGTGAAGCACCCACTAACAGCACTTCCGTCTTGTCTGGATTGAGTTTCAATTTATTAACCCCCATCCAGTCTATTATCAGGTCCAGACACGAGTTCAGCACAGAAACTGCCTCACCTGGATTGGTGGAAAACGAGAAGTAGAGCTGAGTATCGTCAGCATATTGCTGACTAAGAGATGCGCTCCGTGGGGGATCCCAAGCCAGTCTCAGGCCAAAACGTTGAAGCTGAGGCTGTCCTACTTCAGGCATCTCATGAGACGGCAGGATTCCCTGGAAGAGGCCATCACGCTGGGGAAGGGGGGAAGCAGCAGGAAAGGAGGAAGAGCAAATACGAGGTGAGTGGACTCACTAAAAGAAACCATGAATTTTGAATTTTCAAGACCTGAGCAGGGCAGTTGAGAACTGGGTGATTTGGAGGTTGCTCATCCGCAGGATTGCCGTTAAGTCAGAGGCAACCGTGCAAAATGAAGCAAGAGATAATTCTGGAAGAGGAGACTTTCAGGGCAGGAAAAAGCAAGGGACACTTGGGAGGTATTTTAATTTACTTACACGCTTTACTTCACATAAAACAATGAGCAATATCTTTTGTACAACTAGTTTCAATGGTAGTGACTTGGATTTGTGCTAGTTTTTTAGCCGTATTTAACATTTCCAAGAATCTTCAAATAGGTACAATGTCTCTTGTCCTCAAGCCACAGGAGGCAAGTCCTCGGTGGAGGTAAGAACTGTGCCTCTTAAACCCATTTTTCAACCCTGTATGGCCAAAATAAAGATCATTTATTTTCTTTCACTCTGAAATATGTGACCCTGATGTTGCATAAGTCTGTGCGTTCCTGTCCGTACTGAACAGGGTCACAAGAACATCCTTTTGCAAACCATTCCCCTAAGTGTGAGGTTGCAGTACGTATGCAAAAGTTTGTGTGGTTGTGTTTGAGTGATGTTCTCGCAGGCCTGTGGGTACATAAAGCCTCAGTTCTGGAAAAGTGGGTTCCTTTGTGCGTCCCAGTGGTGATCCCCAACCCCTAACCCCCAACCCAACTTAATTAACCATATTTACTGAGAAAGAGAAAATTATTCCGTGGTTGGTATGTTTCTGGGCTGTTTGCAGAATGTAAGATTGGCAGGCATTGTTTTGTGATGGGTTGTTTTCTGTTTGGCTAAAGGGTCTCAAAAGATACAATATTGGGTTTCAATGCTGTACCCCATCATTTTTAACATTTATATGAAGCTATTGGAAGAGATAATTCAGAGTTTTTTTGGGGGGCACGTGTTATGTCTTGCTGCTATGTGGACTATAACCCACCTGTTTTTCTCCTTGAAGGCTATGGAAATTCTGATTTCTTGTCTAGATGTTGCGGGAGGTGGGTGAAAAAAACAAGGCAAAGTCCAGACAAGGCCAAAATTCTATCGGTCAGCAGAATTGGGATTTTTCCCCCATATCCCCAGTTCTTGCCATCTTTCCTCCTTCTAGGGCTTGGTTTCCAGTCCCCTGAACATCCTGGTGGCCCACCTCTGGACTTGCTCCAGATTGTGGCACTCTTTTTAAAGTGCGGTGTCTGGAACTGGAACACAGGACTCTACAGGAGGTTTCACCAGAGCTGGATAGAGTACACACCATGTACGGGTGTGAAAGCTGGACAGGAAACTGATAGGGAAAAATGGATTTGTTTGAAATGTGGTGCTAGAGGAGAGCTTTGTGTATACCCAGGATGGCCAGAAAGATGAACAAGGGGGCGGTGTCCTAGAGCAAATCCAGCCTGAACGTTGTGGGGGGGGGGCAAAAATGATGAAAGCGAGGCTGTTCCTCCAACTGATAGGGAAAAATGGATTTGTTTGAAATGTGGTACTGGAGGAGAGCTTTGTGTATACCCAGGATGGCCAGAAAGATGAACAAGGGGGCGGTGTCCTAGAGCAAATCCAGCCTGAACGTTGTGGGGGGCCAAAAATGATGAAAGCGAGGCTGTTCCTCCTTCAGACACATCATGAGAAGGCAGGATTCCCCGGAAGAGACTGTAATGCTGAGAAAGGTGGAAGGTAGCAGGAAAAGAGGAGGAAGACTAAACATGAGATGGTTTGACTATCTAAAGGAAGCCACAGGCTTTAATTTAGAAGAGCTGAGCAGAGCGGTTGAGGAGAGGATATGCTGATCGCTTATTCGTGAGGGTCGCCGTAAGTCAAAGATGACTTGAAAGCACATAACCACAATACTTGACGGGATTTGGAGGCTTGGCTTCTGGTAATTAACCCTAAAATCACATTGGCCTTTTTTGCAGCCGCATCGCCCTGTTGGCTTAAATTCAGCTTGGGATCTACAACCAATCCCAAGATCCTTCTCGCTTGTAGCATGACTGAGCCCAGTCTCCTCCCTTCTTGTAACACTGCATTTGAGGTTTTTTTCCTCCCCCCCCCTCCAGGTGTAGGACTTTGCACTTCCCCCTGTTCAGTCTCAATCTGCTGTTTTCAACCCAGTGTCTGACCCTACCGAGATCTTTCTGAAAATTGTTTCTGTCTTCCAGGGTGTGAGCTATTCTACATCTTCTTGTTTGCCATCAGGTAGGGGCCCATTTACGACAATCCTATTAAGCTTTCAAGCTGAGATAGCTAAAGAAGGATTTTATCAGTTCCACCCCCTAGGTCAGGAATTCGAACTCGGGTTTCCCGAGTTCTAGTTCGCTACATCACACTAGCCCTATTAGACTACTATACTGATCTCCTTGAGGGGCTGCTTCAGAAAATCTTCTTTTGGAAGCTGTGAGTCATGCGAAACAGAGACCGCTGTCTAGTGAGTGGGGTAGAGACCATAGACCACGGGTTCTGAACCAGTTGGACTGGTTTCTGCTGGCTGGATAGCTCAATGGTTGCGGTCTCTGGCTGCAGAACCAGAGGTTGAGAGTTTGAATCCTCCTCGGTGCCTCTCGGGAGAAGAGCCAGCCTGTCTGGCCTTGGGCAAGTGGCAGAGTCCCAGAAGAAGGGAAGAGGAAAAACCGCTTCCGACTGTTCTCTACCTAGAAATTCCTGGAGCTGCTTGTTGGACCTTATTTTGTAACTAATTAATCACCCAACAAAGTTGAGATTGACGGAGATAGGCTGTAAGTATGCCCTCCCTCATATACCGCACTATAGGGATACGTCTTGTTTTTAAAAACAGCTCTTGTATATAATTCTCCATTTAATGGACTTTCTCCATAAATAAACATTTTTCCCAGCCCCATACCGATAAAACATCCTTTTTACATCCTTTTAAAAAATGTGGCTGTGTTTCTCTCTCTCTCTCTCTCTCTTTGTCTGTCTTTTTTTTCTCTCTCTCCCTCTCCTTTGTTTCAAGTGCTGAAAAGAGTGTTCACGACGGTCACGAACACAACATGGAAAAAAATATTGGCACAAGAATGAAATCATTCTGCCTTAAAAAACGGCACAAAGAGCTTCTTCTTGGCAAGGAAACGGGGCGCTTCTAGGGCGCAGGAGGACTACCAGCGGTGGGGAAGGAGCAGGAAGGATGTGGCAGGATTGAACCCTCGGCTCTGAACACCAAACCACCCTGGCCAACTTTTGTGTTGTGCGTGTGTGTTTTTTTGAAGGCGCCCCTTCATGTAGGAATGGGGTTCGGCTGAGGGCCACGGGCTCTCCTCTCCACGTTCCACAGTCACAACGTTCCTACGGGTCGGATCCCGGCCACGTTCCCCCCCTCCCTCGGCGTCACATTGAGGTCTCGCTGCTGAGCGGCTTGCGGGTGTCGTTCTCCTGGTAGATGAGGTGGTAGGGCTTCTCGTTCTCCTCAAGGACCGAGTTGCTGAGGTCGGCGTCCTGCAGCTCCAGTTCTCGCCGGGAGAGGTGTTCCACGATGCCAGCACCCAGAGAGTCTCCTAACACGTTGATGGTGGTCCGGAGGCGGTCCCTGAAATCAGGAATAAGAGGCGTCAAGCAGAGACCTCGGGAGTCACCATTTTTTGGTGAGAGAGGACGCACCCCCTCTCATCCACCCCAGGATCCTGTGGACAGCAGTGGACAGTCAAAGGTTTCTCTCCCCATCCCTCTGCCCGCCCCAAAATCCACAAGGAGGTTGTGATGGCCTCAAGTCCTCCCACCGGACCACTGCAGAATTTCTGAGATCTCCAGGTAGGAGGATCAAATCCTGCCTCGAACTCCGGAGAATAGCAAATGCCAGCTGGCTCTAACAATACAGACCAAAGGGTCTCAGTCCATGGAAGACAACTTCTCATGTTTTTACGCGTAGCGTCTGCCCCGAATCTTGTGGGGAAGAGTTCCACAAGCAACTTCATACCTTCAAAGCCCTTCCCCCTAAAACCGCCGTTTTGCTGAGGTCCTGTGAACAGCAGTCCCAGAGGGACCCTTCGTCTTGAAGAACGTATGAAGAGGAAGGAATCTCGGGCCCGAGGATGGAATCGGTTGTTCCTGGGGTCCTCTTAACCCACGCTTCCAGAGGTTCTCTTCCCCACAACACCTCTGTGTGATATTTTTTTCCCCAGTGTCTGCATGGCATTTCCCCCCTTCTAACAGCTTTGTGACTCACAGACAGAGTCCTATATGAGCTCAAACATGCTGTTTTTTGGGGTTCCAGCCCTTTTGCCTTTGCGCCCTCCCCAGCGTCTGCATGGGATTTCCCCCTTCTAACAACTTTGTGACTCACAGATAGAGTCCTATATGAGCTCAAGCATGCTGGTTTTGGGGGTTCCAGCCCTTTTGCCTTTGCGCCCTGGCCTGGTTCTCCATCCTTGGCGCATAAGAACCTAAGTAACACCGTGCTGAAAATAAAGAGCTTCTCTCCCACCCCAGCTTTGCCGTTTCTGGGTTCCCGGGGACTTACAGAAACCAGTCCACAGCCATGATCAATGTGATGTCCTCGGTCGGCAACCCCACCGACGTCAACACGATCACCATCGTCACCAGCCCGGCTTGTGGGATGCCGGCTGCCCCGATGCTGGCAGCGGTGGCCGTAATGCTGAAGGAGAGCAAAAGAAGAGCAGTCACCTCTTGAGGAAGCCGTGATTCCCGGACATCAAATCATTTCACACTTACGGCGACGCTACAAATCAATGGCTGATACCCTGCTGTACCTGGCATAGCATGTCTGATTGTGCAACTAGTGGCACAACTAAGCACACAACTAGGAGTACAAAGAGAGATCTGCCTTTCTGCTGAGTGATTCTTTCCCCCCGCTCTCTAGAGTCTGTAGCTGAAAGCAGCCATGTTTGTTAGATTGCTGTTGATCTGTTTACAACTGTAAGCAAAGAGAATGGCTTTTCTACTTTCTCCTACAAAGGTCTCATAGTGCGTTACTGAGACTGTAAGTGCCAGTTAATGAGAAAAGGAGCAGACTAATCTGGGGGGGGAGGGAGACTTAAAACTCTTCTACTCTGTGACTCCCTGCATTCCTCTGCAGCTGGAGGAATTTAACCTGAAATTCAAAACTCCGCAACAACATCAACTCTCCAAAATTAAAATTAGAAAACACACTGTACTCTGAAGACTCGCACTTTTTCTGTCAAAACAGAGGAGGCTTGGCACAGCCCTCTGGCAGCTGCACACTTATAGGTATGCACAATGCACGCACACACTCTCACACACTCTTTTGCACACACACATATAGGTGTGTGCACCAAACTTGCAGCCAACACCTTATTGTGATGATCTGTCCAAAGTCCAGCTCATAGTTGTTGACCTGGGCGATGAAGATGGCAGCCAGGGCCTCGTAGAGGGCCGTCCCGTCCATGTTGATGGTGGCCCCCACGGGGAGGACGAACCGGGTGATCCTCTTGTCCACCCCGATGTTCTCTTCCAGGCACCGGAACGTGACGGGAAGCGTGGCGGAACTGGAAGCAGCAGCAAAGTGAGATTAAATACCTGGCTTCACTGGAGATTTTGGATGACACATCCCAGAAGATTTCAACCCTCCCTGGTCCCGTTTGCAAGCAAGCAAAGTTTAAACCAAGCATCACCGACACCGCTGGGACAGGAGTATAAAGCCCTTGGAGGCTTGCTATTTGTAGAATCAGAGAACCCGGTCACATCATGCATCCTAAAGGCGACGGCTTAAGTCTAGTTTCCAAATCCCATGGGGTACTAGTCCCTGGTGAGGCCTCCTCTTGAATCCCGGGCCCAATTCTAGACACTACAAGAATGCTGGAAAAAATTGAAGCCAGTTCAGAGGAGGGCAATCAAGAATGATCAGAGGACTGGAAACCAAGCGAATCCCGGGCCCAGTTCTGGACACTACAAGAATGCTGGGAAAAAATTGGAGCCAGTACAGAGGAGGGCAATTGAGAATGATCAGAGGACTGGAAACCAAGCCCTTAAAGGAGGAAGGAGAGAAAGAACTGGGCCTGTTTATCCTCAAGAAAAGAAGACACTGGATAGCACAAGACTTGAAAGGCGGTCCTACAGAGGAGGGGCAGAATCTGTCCTCCATCCTCCCAGAGTGTGCAGGACACGTCAGAATGGGCACACGTGACAGAAAGCCAGATTTCAGCTGAGTATCAGGAAAAACACCTTAACTGTTAGAGTAGTAGGACAACAGGGCCCATGACCTCAGGAGGGGTGAGTGCTTCCACGCTGGAGGAGTTCAAGAGAAAACCCTCTGTTGCAAGATGGAGGAGTTCAAGAGAAAACCCTCTGTTGGATCTGCTTTGATTTGGATTCCCACCTTGAGCAGAGGGCTGGACTGGATGCCCTTATGGGTCCCTTCCAGCTCCATGATTCTCGGATTGTGTAGCACATCCCCTTCCACGTGGTTTTGTGCTTCTTATCTGTTTTTCGAGATCTGTCTGTAAGGCCATCCTAACTCCAAACCAGCCGGAATTTGGCTTTCTTTGGGGGCTGGCATGCTAGGTGAAGCTCACACCCTGTGGGTTCTAACGGCTGCCATAGGATCACATAAAACCGCTTATCCTCCAAAAGCTTTCTTTGGCTGCTTACCGTTGCCATTTCACTACCATTGATCGCTGGTTTTTCAGCTAACGTGAAACTCTTCCTTTCCAGTTTTAATATTTTTTGGCCGAAATCCAGCCGATGACATCATCACGCATTATGGTTAGTGGGGGTATTTTTAAATAAAAAACTTCTGATTCACACAGATACACCTGAAAAAGGCTTCATTTTCATCACCACGAAGCCACTGGAGGTCTTTAATTTCCAAAAATCGCTACTGGTGGTAAAGTCATCCCAGCACTAGTGGTTTTCAGGAATTACAGTCCCTCCATGCCCAGAAATCTTGACTGCCTTGCCTATAAACTTTTCTCCAGATCTCTCAACTGGCTTCCAAATCCTTTACCCTCCCGGTTGCCTTCCTCTGGACCCTTTCCAACTTCTAAATATCCGTCTTAAACATGGGGTGCCCAGAACAGGACCAGAGAAGAGAGCAGTCCTATGACATCCCTCAATCCGGACACTTGTTGCAGCCTAGAATTGCATTCGCCTTTTTTGCCGCTGCATCACACGGCTGGGCGCTCGCCGGTCAAGGAGGACTTATACCTGGAAGAGGTGCCCATAGCTGTGACCAGCGCCTGCAGCAGGCCAGCCACAAACACCCAGGGGTTCTTGTGCGTGATGATGAAGTAGATGAGTGGCAGAACGCAGAGGCCGTGGATCAGCAGACCGACGATTACCGTCAGGGTGTACATGCCCAGCTGCCCTCCCATCACCGCCAAGTCCTCCATCTCCAAGATCTTGCCAGCGATGAGGAAGAGGATGCCGACGGGAGCGTACCTGTCACGAGGGACAAAGCATCAGGAGGGACGACAAAAGGAGACCCAACAGTACAACGAATCTTTAGAAATTAACAGCTGCCCATTGATGACCCAGTTCAGGTATTGGGAAACGGAAGCCTGGGGGGCCAAATCCATCCTAGAATGACGTTTCACTCTGGCTTCCAGCTTTCCAGGTGGAAACAACACTCCCCAAGGTTTCCTACGTTAAAATGAAATGCTCTTTTGGGCCCCAAAGTCCAGTAACTGCCTCCCCCAATTAAATCTAAAATTTTAATTTGGCCCCACACATTGATTGATGTATAGCCCCTGTTCCATCCTTGGTTCCACTCTTTCCCCCCCCGAAACAAAACCCAGGAAAGTGATCCCTAACAGAAATCAGGGGCCCTCCTCCTCCTCACCAGATGATGATGGCCACCATCCGCAAGATTGCTTCGTTGAGGCAGTCGAAAAACTCCCGCAAGGCCTGTCCTTTCTGCTTCATGCTGCCGATGACCAGGCCGAAGCAGATGGAGAAGACCACCAGGCCCAAGGCGTTGACCCCGTTCACCGACCCGGGGCCCGGGATGACCTCCTCGTAGCTCTGCACCTCCAGCCGGCCGCTTAGCGCCTGGGTGACGTTGTGCCAGATGGCCGTGGCGTTCTCTAGCAGCGCCAGCGGCAGGAGGGCCGTCGGGCCCGGGGTGGCATTCCAGACGCCCCCGCTATGGTTCAAGAGCTGGGGCACCGGTGGGGCAGCGGCGGGAGTGCTGGTCCTCTCGAGCGTCTGGTTGATGATCCGGACGCTGTACTGGGTCTTATACTGGAAGGGAAAGCAGGAACGTGAGCTTCGGTCCTCCTCAGGAGAAAATGGGGACCTCTGTCTTAGAGAAACGGCGTTAAGGAAAGAAGGCAGCCTTGAATACGACGGCGGGAAATGCCAGCCAACAGGATCCACAAAGTGACAAAAACCGGCACCCCCATTCTTACACACACACACACACACACACACACACCAGACCTGCTTACCTGCCGGAAACAGGCCTCTACCAGATTGGGTGGGAACATATTCCTAAAAGAGAGGAAAGGGGGGGCGGGAATCAGCTTGTAGGGCCACGGACTTGCACGGTTGAAGCCAAAGGACTTTGGGACCATCGGGAACTCCCCCCCCTTATTGGTTCCACCCCCTCTCAAGCATCACCCCTTCCCTCTGAAATCAGCTGCGGTCCTCCCAACAGCTGGGAGAGGAACAGGGCTCTCCCCCCCCCCAAGGACGGAACAGAACGTTGCTGCCAGCGATCCCTGTCATAATGCATTTGGGGGTCATTTGGTCTCGAATGCGCCATCAAGAGTCGTTAGCTTTACACAAGACCCGTTCCTCATTCGTTTACTGGGCGGAATCCATCTTTCTACTTTTACGAACCCACCACCGACCAGAGGATTCTGCCTCGCCCTAGCCCCTATCCGTTCCCCTCACCGGATCAGGTCCATGAAGGCGTCAGTGGTGTGGACTTGTTCGATCTTGCCTTCCCGGTGGAGTTTCTCTTTGCTCCCTTTTCCCGGGTGGATGATGAGGACCATAAAAATCCCAGTGAAGACGGCAAGGATTGTGGTCGTCATGTAATAGATGACCGCACGCATGCCCATCTTACCCGATGTGGTCCCGTCCAGAGATGCCATGCCTGAAGCAGGAAAAGAACGGGTTGCCTTGAGAAAAGAATGGGGGGGCTGCTTGATCGCTCCCCAAAATGGCTTTGAAACCTAAACTCAGTCTCGTGGCTTCCTTTACGGACGCCCTTCCTCTCACGTCTGTCCTTCCTCTTGGCCTACTCATTTCAGCTTTTCCTAGAATTACAATAGGACGCCCGTATCCACAGGAACAGCATCCACAGTGTCCCACCCCCCTAAAAATAGGGATGCTAGATGGCCAAACTGGACAGACCTCTGGGGATCCCAAACAAGGACACGGAAAGGGTGGCTCACCTGTGATGAGGCTGGAGACGATCAAAGGCAGAACCAGCATTTGGAGCATTCGCATTAGCAGCTCTCCAGGGAAGGAGAAGTACTTGATCTGGCGGTAGGTCATTCGGTAGGGCCGGAGGGCCAAGGCCAGGGTGATCCCTGCAAGAGAGCGGTGCAGTGGGGGGGGGGGGAAGGAAGGCAGTCAGAGCTTAGCTTCCACTGACGGCTTTTGTTCTCGGGAACTTCTGCAACCTCGTAGGCGGCCTTTAGTAAGTTTAGGCTGGGGTGGCTGTCAATCTATCCAGCTCTATCCATTGTTTTGTCCCTGCTTCTAAATTCAAAGAGAGTCCCACCTCTCTGCTCTGTGTCTCTTTCCCTCTCTTTTGTCTGTTGGAAGCAGTCGAAGAGTCTGTTGGGGCCTTTGCTGAAAACAATCGTGTTTGCCCTTAGTTTGCTGTTCAATGTGTTCAACTGTGAGTAAATGAAACCTTTTCAGGCAGGGAGACCATTTAATTCAGGCCAGCCTTTGGCCAAGAGGGAGAGGGGTTCTTATCTGGCTTCCATGTCCTCAGAATTTAATAGGGCAGGATCCGACTGCGCTTGCACTGAGCAGGGGGGAAGTCGTTGCATGGAATCACGGCTCTTGCACAAAACCTCATGTGTGGCGCAAGCCCCTGGGTTTCTTCACGCACCCCGCTGCTTGCACCACGGGGGTGCAGACACCACCGTGCACCTTGGCAGCTCTGGACCACAACTCCCAGAAGTCCCCAGGCCATCGTGGGACTTGTAGTCCCAAACCGTGGCTCTTAACTGCCGTTCTTCGTGAGGACACCGGTTGGGACGCCCCACTAAGAAAAGTTCATCTGCATCCGGGCTGGCATGCCAGAGTCTTAGAGCCACTCTTGCTGGGTTTCGAAATGCCCGCTGCTTGTGGCTTTAAGCTGGGCATACGTCTTTTTAACTCTGTCGTAAGCCACCTGGGATCCCAGTTCTGGGAGAAAAGCCAAATGGAAACCAGAGAGATGAATAAGGCACTAGCTGACGCCTATTCAGGGGGCAGGGCGGAGGGGGGAACGGGACACTCACATCTCGGAAACCCACAAAGGATGACACAAGAAGCTGGCTCCCGAGCCACTCCCTCCACGCTGGCCTTCCCCCATCTAGAGTGTAAGCCCTTGCGTGTCCTTACTCTTTGGACAAGCTGAATAGGCCAGAATAAGTGTGGGGGGGCAATCTTCAGAAATCGGGGGGGGGGGCCCTCAGGTGTAAGCCCTTGCGTGTCCTTCCTCTTTGGAATAGGCCAGAATAAGGGGGGGGGCAATCTTCAGAAATCAAACACACCCTGCTTCTCTGTTTCCCATGCCCCCACCAAAAATCCTTTATTATTTTTTTAAAAAAAGTTTCTTTCCTCTTTGCTTTTTTAAAAAAGGCGAACGGGGGGGGGGGCTCTTCCCAGACCCAGTTTGACCCCACCTGGCAAGCCTTTGGTCCTGCTGGGGAAAACCACTCCTGATAGGGAGGGAGACTTTTTTCCCCCCCAGTTTGGACCCTGGCCTGCAAGACGGGCGCCTGGACGGCCATGCTCAAAGACCGATTACAAGAAAGAAGGAGAAGAGCCAACTCGGCCTTCTGCACCGTTTAATCCGCCATTAATCCCATTTCGTGTTGAGCTTTTGATGGGAATATGTATTAAATATAAATATTGCATAGTTAAATGTAAAATGGCTGATTTTACCTGAATCATTGTACTGATTGTATTCAGGTGCGGGTATCAAGGTTTCAGACTACAGCTGTGTACAGCGATGAAACTTTTTGTAACAGAAAATGAAGTAAAGTATTTTCTGATGGGTCACAGAACTCTACATAAGTGATGTGCAAAATGGACGTCTTTCTCTGCTGTAAGTCAGATCATTTTTTTCCTATGTTGTGTGTTGCATCATGTCATGCTGCCAGAGGAATGTCTATTCTCTGTGTATATATGTAAATAGACTAAGTTGATGTTTTACTCTCTCAGAGTCATAGTATCTCTGTTAACCAATATCTCCTTACTCTCTGCGCATTATGAGAATACACATTACAATCAAAATTCTCAACCTTTCGGCAGTTGCTACGGCTTCTTCTCCCGCTACCGTACACCCGAGCAGGCAGAGGTCTTGGCTTGCTCGGGGGGAGTGGGGGTGCCCACGTCAGACTCAAACAACCCGTGACCGCTTAATCCTCTGGAGTATTTCTTTTGGCCCCGCAAACGCAGAGAGCCAGCGTTCACGGCTGCCCGGTTCTCAGGCGGGAACGGTTAGAGCAGGAAGGGAGGCCCGTTTCAGAAGGAGGGCAGGCCAGAGACAGGACGGGCAGCCGAGCGGTAACTCGTCCTGGTTCTCAGCTCGCTTCCTCCCCGAAATGTTTCCACGCGGCAGGTGGATCCTCTTACGGGACGCTCGTATAAGCTCTCAGATGCCAGCCCTGCCGCTGCCAGCTCTTGCGAATGCCATGGGCCTGGATCCCAAGTGGCACCTTAAAGGAGACCCACCAGAGCTCAGAAATGCCCCTAGAGCTGGTCTGTGGCTTGTCCCACCAAAACCATGACAAGGACCTTCAGGCAAAAAAACCCCAACAACTTATATTTGATATAAGCATATGTGGATAGTGGCCTGTGTCTTCAAAGGCACAGGAATCTGGACTCCAACCCCCTTCAGAGCAGAAGAAAAGAACACAATTTCCAAGAAACATTTTTCACTCTGTCTTTTTATGAATTTCAAATTTGTTTCTTGAGTAATTCACACCTATCTCTTGCAAATCCCCCTCTAGCTGGCCAGAAGCTGATAAACAACTATTTTAAACCAATAAATATATGACCATAAAACCAGAAATTGGATTCCCCACACACACACACACACACGCACTGCCGGGCGCCACTAACTATTTTAAACCAATAAATATATGATCATAAAATCAGAAATTGGATTCCCCCCCCACACACACACACGCACTGCCGGGCGCCACTGCGTGAAAACAGGAGTAGCACGCGGATCTCTAAGGCAGAAGACGCTCCCAGTTCGTGAAATGCCGGCCCTCCCTCCCATAGCCGAGCCCCACCAGGCAGTCCCCTCGCTGGTCACCCTACCCAGGAGGACGGCCGAGACCGTTAGCAGGACGAAGGCGTTCCTCTGGAGGTAGGCCCGCGTGCTTTCCCAGGTGAGGGTGTACATGCGCTTCCTGGCGCGCCCCGCTCGCTTCTCCAGCGCATGGCGGAGGCGCTGCACCCGGCCGCCCGACCCGAGAGGCTTCGAGGACTCCTCGTTCAGGAAGAGGCTGTTGACGTGGGTCTGGCGGTCCCCCATCATCGGGCTCAGCATCCAGCGGTAGAGGGGTGGCCGCCCGGCGTCCCTGGAAAGGGTCGGAAAAGAAATGAGAAGATGGTGAGGCTAGCGGCAAGAGAGGGCTGCTCACCTCCCCCCCAAACATCCCCCCACCTCCACCGGCAACCAGAGGCGGGGGGGGAATTATCCAGGCCAGTTGCAAAGCCGATCTGGGGCACCACATGACTCAGAAGCACGAGGAGGGTGTGGTCCTCTGAAGGAGGTTCGGGCGCCTGCCATAAAAGTCAAAAAGAAGGTCTCGCTCTCTTCGGAGGCCACGCTCGGGAGGGCCCGGCGGCCCCATGGAAACGAAGCCAGGGTCTGTCACTGGGGAACTCCCCAGGAAGGCAGGATTCCTTGGAAATGGCCGCAATGCTGGCCAAAGGTGGAAGGCCGCAGGAAAAGAAGAGCAAGACCCGACGCAAGACGGACAGACTCCCTCAAAGAACCTGCAGGGATGGGTTTGCAAGAGCCGAGCCCGGCTGTTCCAGACAGGATCATGTTGAGATGGCTCATGCATAGGGTGGTGCAAGAAGGAAGCATGAGATAGTGCTGGAAGAGGAGACTCCCAGGGGAGGTGAAAAAACAAGGGACACACATTGCAGGTCACTCCTTCATGGGGTCACCCTAAGTTTGAGGCACCTTGACCGCACCACACAATGACCACACACTCTGGGACCCAACCTGCCGACAGGCAGCTGCTCTCCCTTCCCGAATCGAGTTATCCAGGAATTGTTCAGCCCACGATGGCAGCCGGTGCCCTGTGCGTGCGAAGCCCGCAGAAGGCTGTTGAGGATTACAGGAGACAGCTTTGGACTCAGAGGCCCTCCGTCCCCCTCACCCCTGCGCTTTTTATTCGGAAGGCTTTGGGAGTGCTCCTTTTCAGGATTACAGCATCCAAAAACCACCCCCTTCCGCTCATCCAGCTGGCCTGAGACAACAGATAAGTGCTGGAAGATCAGACTCTTCAGGCAGGGAAAATCCTGGAACATTTGGGAGGTCGTTCCTTCCTAAGTCAAAGGCGACTGGATGGTCCCCTTCGTTCAGCGGGGTGCCCTCCGGGCCGAATTAGGGCGTCCTTTAGTTCCAAAAATCCTACACATTGTTCTCACTCCTGTATCAAATTAGCATTATCCTAGGGGCAGGGACCTCTTTTATGGGAAGCCCCTTGCAGAGGGAGGGGAGGCATCTAAAGACCCCCCCCCTAAAAACAGGCTTAACATGTTGTTAAATAATCAAACAGAAATAAAGATTTTTGCAAAGCAAAAAAACTGAACTCATTCAACAGGCCGTATGCCGACGCTTCATCTGATCTCACTGGACATCTCAGCTGATTTCTAACCCTGCTGTGCTTTGGATGGAAGTGGGTGTAGAAAAAGTCATTTCCCCTGGTCTGCGCCTTCTTTCTTTCTCTCGGTCACGCTGCCATTAAAAAAACTACATATATGTGTCAATTCCAAGAGGAGAGCTAATGGAGGTTATTCGCCGAGTTCCCGTTGAATAGATGGCTGGCTTCCAGCTTTCAGAGCAGAAAAATTAAATTTAAAACTTAAAAAAAAAAAACACATACCAAACTAACTAGTCTGGAAACTATCGTTATTATTGCTTTCACTGGCGGGTGCCGACCGGTTACACACGTAAATTAAAAATTAGGGTGATCCCTTTTCCATCAGTTCCCTGCCTGCAAATGAAAGCAAAGTGTCCGTTTTACAGAAGGGGAAACCCTGCCGCCCAGAGAGGCAGAGCGGGCAGAACGGCCGGGGTCACCCGAGGGCACGGGGACCGTGTGCCAAGGCCACAGCTGGCACAGGGCAATGCCAAAACCAGGGGGAGGGGAGAGAGATCTTAAAGACGGATACTTACGGCTCTGACGGCCATCCAGCGGCCGGCTCCTCTTTTCCGTGCCCACTCCGCCCCCCCAAAAAAATCAGCCTCCTCACCTGGAAGACCAGCAGCGCCACCGGTGGGTATCGGCCGGCTGCCTCCGACTGTCCTAGACCTCCGCTCGTCCGTCTCCTTTCTCTCTCCGGTTTCCAGGTCTTAGCAAAGCTAAGAAAGAAAGCGAGGCAGGATTATGCCCCCAAAGGTACGTAAGGGAAGGAGGTGCGGGTGGAGGAGGAAGAGGAGGAGGAGACTTTGGTGGCTCAGGACCAGCCAGATCCTGCCACCACCACCGCCACGTGCACGCACACACACAAACACACACCTCCCTTCAGAGGTTGAAGGATGCCAAGCAGGGATTAACCCTATCGGGGGGGGCATGGGGGGTATGCCAGAAGAGCCCAGGCGGAAGGAATGGGGCCCTCCCTGGCCTCGGATTTTTTTCTTTTCTTTCCAATGGAGTGCCAGGATGTCCAGGGAGCCTCCTGGCAGCTGTACCCTTGGGCTGTTCCTCCCCAGGTAGACTGCTCCAGCGCACGGAGGTTCTGCTCGGCAACTGGTCTAGACCACGTCTCCAAAGCCACCAGTTGGGGGTCTTTTCCCGAAACCCAGAGGAATGAAGGCAAGCCACTTTTCCTGCCTTGCTCTGCTTATCCAGGATGCAGAAGTACATTGCACTGGGACATGGATGTTCTATTCACAAGAGCGAGCCGAGAGAAAGAGCGAGGGAGGGAGGGAGAAAATAAACCCGATGGGTCTACCTGCCATGACCTTCTGCTTCCCGAGATGGGTCAGCGGCCTGAGAAAGCTTTCTGGGTTGCTCTCCAGGAGGAAGGAATGGTTAGGCTTTCAGATAGACTGCCTCTGAACATGGAGGTTCCATCCCCATCATTTCCTTCCTTCCTTTTTTTCCCCCACAGCTACTGGGACTCCTTAGTGGCTCTCATATGTAGATTATTTATTTAAATACACACACACACACACATTGCCCACGTGCATGCGTGCGCCCCCTCTACATCCCACCTCTGTCTCAACGGCTCTAAGGCGTGACTGCCAGCCACCCAGAGATAAACCCAGGCAAACGGGGAGAAGGAAAGAAAGCAGAAGCCAACAAAGAGGAAAAGTCACACCCAAGAGACGGCCGAAGAACTCAGGATGAGTCAGACGCAAGAGTTGGGAAAGGCCAGCCAGGCACCCCCCCCAGGCAACGGGGTGCCCCCTAAGCAGGGCGCCAGGCAGTTCCTGGCCTTGGGTGCCCACAGGTAGACTGGCCTGTGCATGGAGGGTCCATTGCCTCCCCAGGAAACCAGCAAATGGGGGAGATGTAGAAAAGGTCACTGAAACAACATTGAGAGAGGTTATTTTGGATGAGAACAGATCAGCCATAAAAGTCTGTCTGGACTCACACACATCCCCGTCTGGGTCCTGCTTCCTGGTGACTTTCTGCTCTTTGAAACCAGTTATTCACCCGCAAGAGGAAACTGCCTCCCGCCTGCTACGTCTGCTTGGAGGTTTGAAAGAAGAGATGATGCCTAAGGACACTGGGAGGCCCCAGGGCCAGCTTACCACGCCAGCGAACCGGGCAAGGGCTTGGAAATGGGTCTGCCCGGGCATCACGAAACCTCAGGCGTTCCACCAGAGCCACCCAGGTCTCACCTTAAAAGCACCTCTCGGGTAACTAGTCCTCACTGGTTTATTGGCGCAGGGTGTGAAAGCGCAACGCCATCTCTAGGAAAAAAAGTGCTTCCAGAATCACAGCAAAAGGAAGGAAGTGTGGGGTGCCCCCCCCCCACAGAGGATCAACCTCATGCCTGCACCACACAGGCCATCCATCAGCAGTTTGGGCCACTGAGTTCTCTCCAAACACGAGTCAGGCCCACACGTGGGCAAAAATCCACAGATGGTTCGAAGGCAGGAACCCCAGGCAGCTCTGGAGGGGGGAAAAAACACCAGATCCTTTCCCCATTTGGCCCTGCCAGCCTTTGCACCCACACTCCGTCTGGTGTGTGTTTCTCCCACGCACACCCCAAGATCTTGGGGACCCCCCTCAAGGGAAAGAAGCGAGCCAGGCCTCTTCCTGCCTCGGCAGCCAAGATCTCAAGAGGGGGAAACCGTGCGGGTGCCCACGCGTGGGAAGTGGGTGGAAAATCCGACCCAGCTGCTCCGGCAGTGGCCTCACGTGGGAGCCAAGCCGGTCCCGGTTGTGGAGAAGAGCTGCTTTTGTGGGAAGACACCTAACCCTGCAATTCGGCCCCACACGGGTGGAAGCCACGGAGGCCTGCCAGGTACTGAAATGAAAAACGGGACCGGCCCACCTGGGCTGGCTGGCGTCCATGCCAGGAATGTGGCACGGGCGGGTTCACTGGGGTGGGCGCCGGAGGGAGCCTGTGCCAATGAGTGCTGGGATGCGAGGACGCCCGTGTGGTTCCCCCGGGGAGGGAAGAAGCCGAAAAGTCGCTCCAGCCACCCAAGCCGGTCCCTTCCCTCTCCCTGTTTTGCTGCTACGAATGAACGGGCTCCATTTTACTTTTCACCCAGCAATTTTGCTAAAAGCAGGGAAAACTCTGCGTCGAAGCGGCTTTTATATTAGGAGGTTCTGCAGCCGGCTGTTGAGATAAGAGGCCCTTCTTCGGGCACGATCTGTGGCCTCTCCTCCGCCCTCTTCAAATAAACCGGGCGTAAAGGGGGAGAGCATAAAAGATAAGACCTCCCAGGTGGCCCTTGGCCCCCTCCCTGGCTGCCGTTTGCCCTCTGGCATGCCGGAGAGGCTTTGCCAACTTGTGCGCTCATTGAACAACCCTGCAAGGCGGGACATGCCCGGCCCAGCTCTGCACGGCCCTGGTGTGGTCCGCCACGATCCAACCCGGCGCTGGGTTCTGAAACCGCGCCTTTCCTCCCTCGAGCCAACAGCAGGACCATCCCGACCCAGCCAAAAACAGAAAACGGAAAAAGCCAGAGGGAAAACAAATAAGAAATCTCCAGGAAGGTCTTGATAAAATCTTTTCCCCAAAAGCCGCAACAGGGGAGGAAAAAAAGGGGGGGGGTGCTCTTGGCGGTTGGCACCCTTCCCACCCGCCCCAGATCTGAGGCCAGGCGTCCCAGGTGGGTGAAAAGTGCCCGTTTTTCCCCTTGGCGACCAACCTACGGGCAGAATTCCTGACGGGAAACGTGACACCCCCCCAGGCATCCGGGCATCGGGCCCACCTGAGACAGAGGTTTCCAGAGAAGAAGGGGAAAGCAAACAAGCAGGCCTTTACGCCTCTGTGTGGCCCAGCCAGGCCCTCCTGTACGTGGCACGGCCCCCGGGATCATCCTCCTCCTCATCCGCTTTCTTTTTCAGGTCTTTTTAAACCCAGCAAGGCCAGGAGGCAGCCTGGAAAAGGCCAAAAGGGGGAACTTGGAGCAGACTGCCCAGAACAGAGAGAGGGGGAGATTGGGAGGCCCCGGGGTTGGCTTTGCCGAATTGGTCTCCGGAGGGGGGGGGGCAAGCTGGGCAAAAAGCAGCCCTCCCGGCATCGCCGGATTACAACTCCCATTCGCCCCGGCCAGCAAAGGCGACAAGGGAGAGTAACCAGGGGCTGCGAGTCCAAGACTGCACTGGATGATCGGAAGGGTCCCTTCCAGCTTGGGGGATCATAAGAAGATGATGGTGGTGGTGGCAAATGGAGGCTTCTACGGAGCTGCGGGGTGGGGGCTCCTTTGGCCGAAATGCCAGTTGAGGGAAGATTGTTTGGAGGAGCGACCGCTTAGGGTGGGCCCGGCCAGGGGCCCAAAGGGTGGGATGGGGCCCTCCACTCTGCAGTGGATCAGGCTTTTCAGCTCCTGGGAATGAGGGCTTCCCTGAAATTGGGGAACTGCCCTCAGAGGAGCAGAGTTGGCCCCCCCGAGGGCTGAAGGACCCCCCCACCCCTGCCCTTGCAGAAGGGGCTGCGGGGCTCATCCTGGCTCAGAAAGGAAGGAGGCTTCACATGTCCAAGCTCCTTGAGATTTTTTTGGGGGGGGAGTCCTCGGTGATGGCAGGTGTTCTGGGGGGCCAAGGGGGAGGCCGGGGAACAGGAGAGATGGGCAGCCAGAGATTTAGGGCCCCAGATTTGGGGTGGGATGGGGGCTGGAGAGGCCCTGTCCTAAAAAAGCAAATGGAGGGAAGACATGGGAAACAGCCCCCCCGTGCACCGTTTAAAATCCTCTCCCCCCCTCAAAAAAAAAACCTGGTGCTGCCTCCACATGTCGGACTACAAGTTCCATCACCCAGGCTGTCTCTGCCTAGCTAGGGGATGACGGGGGCTGTAGCCCGACCCGTCTGGAAGGTGCGGGGTTGGGGAAGGAGTCCTGCCATATGGCAGGGGGGAGAAAAGTCTCACCCCCACCCCGCCCAGAGAGACCCCCTTGGAGGAGGCGGGGGTCCTCGAGTGCCCCCCTAGGGGAGGCCATCGCGGGAGGGGGGGCTGATTTGTTTTCGGCGGTTCGAAGCCGGTCTCGCCCCTGCGGGAAGCGAGACAGGGACCGTGGGGCTGGGGGCCCCCTGCACAGATGGCCGAAACAGAAACACACATGGGGGGGGGGAAGAGAAGGGTCGTGCACGTTCTGCTTTAGTGCAAGGGGCCCGATCCTGGGTGCAAAGGGAGCCCCCCGCCGCCGCCTTTCACCACCTCCTTTGCTCGGCTGCAGCCTTGTAAAAAACGCGGGGAAACGGGAAGGAGTGGGACAGGGGGTGGCGGAAATCGGTTGGGGAACAAGGATCCGGCCCGATCCTCGGGGGGTTTCACTTCGTCCTCCACCGCTCCCAGCCCGGAAAAAAAGGCCAACCCATCCATGCCCAAGAGGTTGCCACCCGGCGGGAGCCCTCCTCCCCAACCGCGGGAACCCCCAACCGCGGAAGAAAGGGGACCCCAAGGCTCGGGGAGGAGGGGGGTTGGATTCCCTAAAAGGCGCGTATCGGATCCTCCCTCCCTCCTTCCCTGCGACTTGCCTTGGGGCGTCGGGGGATCGGCCCCTTTCCTCCCCGCCTCGGCCTCTCCACGTGGAGCCGCTCGCTGCCCGGGGCCGGTCGGTCGGTGGCGGCCGCGCGGCGGCTTCTGCTTCTGCTTCTCCTTCCTCCGCCTGGCGCTCGGGGCTCGGCGCGGATCCCACGGCCGCCCTCCGCGGAGGAGGAGCGGAGGGAGGAAGGAAGGAAGGCGGACCCTGGCGAGCCAGGTGGGTGGATGGACGGATAGCAAGCGCGCCTCTGAGCATACGCAGAGTCCCGCAGCGCGCACGCCGGATGGGGACGCCCCGCGCCTCTGCCCATGTGCAGAGTGAGAGAGAGCGCGCACGCGCCCCCCTCTTGGCCCTGTGTCACCAGGGGTGGGGGAAGCTTCGATCCTGAGTTCTGGGTTCAAGTCCTTGAAGAGGCCCCTCCGGCCCATGGGAAAGAGGGGCAGCCAAGGAGGGGAATGAACGGACCTTGGGGCGGCTTCTTGGACTACACTTCCCATCATCCCCAAGGGACCAGCATCCGCAGCCTGGCTGCAATGTTATGGCAGCCGTGAGCCTCCAATGGGCAGAGGGAGGGGGCACTGGTCTCCAGCAGAACCCAAACCAGCCTCCCTGTGGGTTGTGGGCTTTGTAGTATGAAACGCACACAGCCTCCAATTTTCCCACCAGTGTCTTAGGTTTCCTCTCCCCATCTATCATACAGGAGAGTGAGATTTGGAGACTGCGAGGGGTGCCCCCATCCTTTTTCATGTCGGCCTCGTGGGATCAGGGGCCAAACGCTGGCTGGAGCCTGCCGGCGGCCCAAGCTGCTGTTTGGCGGGGGACGGAGGAGACCCCGGGCCTGGCACTCCCTCCCTCTTTTTTATTTCATCAAAGCTTATTTTTTTCGCCTTGGCTCTAAAAACCACCCAGAAGAGTGCATTGCACTCATGGGGCAGTCAAGAAACAGAATAAAAATCATTTTTTTTTCAAAGTAAAGAAAAATAAAGCAAAAGCGCCCTGGAGTGTAAAGGGACTCGGCCCCTCGTGAGGGTCTCCACCCGAACCCCCTCACCGTGAGATCCCTTTTTCCTTTCCACTTTCTCTCTTTCGTGCAGGGAAAGCCGACCATCGTAAGGAGCGTTCCCCCCCCCTGCAATGAACATGTGGCACCACTTAATGCCCCAATTTAATTGCAGAGGGTGGAACGGAGCCGCAGGAGAAGCGAGGGGCGGGGGCGCGTGGCAAAGGGGAGCCTTGGGTTTCTTCCACAGTGCCCACCCCACCCCGTTGCGGGCAATCCTTTAAACTTCTCCCTCAAAGTCACCACGACTTCTAGGTTATGTCCTGCGGGAGATTCCGACCTCCGCCTGTCACACGGCTTTTAATAAATGAAGCCCCAAAATAGACACCCCGGGAGAGACGGCCTGCCGGCGTGGGGGTGGGGGGACAATTCCAGGCGGCCTCGCTCATGGGCAGCCGCCGGAGAGAAAGCGGGCCAATTCCTGGGTCACATTCCGGCCAGAGAGCCCAGGGCGGCTGAAGGCGCCCGAACAGGGACGGGGAAAGGGGGGGGGTCCTGCTTCTCGGGGTCAGGAAAAAAGCTTCAAGGCCAGGGCGACTTTTAAAAGTTCCCCCTGGGGCAGATTGAGGGGGCCTCGCTGGCAACAGCTTTCAGGGGTTTTGTGTGCCTCACAGGGGGGGTCGGGGGGAGGTAGATTTTGCCACAAGAGGGGGCCTGAGCACCATTGTTGTCGTTGCCAAGTTGCCCCCGACTCATGGCGCACCGATGAGTGTCACACCTACAGAACGATCAGAAAGCCAACAACGTGGATGATCGTGGCCTCCATTCCCGGGGACACCTCCTCATCCTTGATGATCCTTCCCACTTCCTTCATCGCTGCCCTTCCGAGGCTCAAGTCTTCTGATTTCGGGAATCTTCATTTGGGTTGATGATCGATTCAAGGTATGCCAACGCTCTAATTGAACACTGCGCTTTCTAAAAATATGTTGGGGACTACAATTCCCAGCGTTCCTCACCAGCAGCTAGTCTGGCCAGAGCTGATGGGGCCGGAGTCCAGCCGCAGGAGGACGGGCGCCACGGGCCAAACGCTGTTTACATGGTGCATTTTCAGCCTTGGGAAGAAAAAAAGGCCGGAGTGACCCACGAAAGAAGCCTCCCGGACTTAAGTGGGGCAAAGACCTTCTCGTCCCGAAGCGCAAGCTTTCTGCAGCTCAGAGGCCTCCCGATGGAGCACTTCTTCCTTATAAACGATTTGTTTGGTGCTCCCGGGCCTTCGAACCGTGCTAGGAGTAAGACAGGTCTCCAGGACCCATTTCCAGATGATCTTATTTTACGTCAATGGGGCACAGCTCCCAATGTTGGCGGCCACTGGTTGAGCTGGCAGGACAGAAATAAGATCATCTGCCAAAAACAGGCCCCCAGAAGCAGAGGTCAAACAAAATCCATTTTGTGTGTGTGTGTGTGTGTGTGTGTGCATCAGAAAATGGTTGGCTTCACTGCAACACCCCACGGAGCCGCACAGCCGCCCTTCTTAAAACTGGCTCTACACCCTGTGGAGACGGTTGTTTCAGGGACCCTCCTCTCCAGGGAGCCGTCTTTGGGAAGCCTCTGAAAGTTTCCGCAGACCCCAAATGCTGCCTCTAGAAGATGCTCAAGTCCTTCAGTTGCATTTAATAGGATGACCGATTGCGTTTTGACCTGGATACCCGGTTTGGAATCCGGCGGCAAATCCCCTTGAGTTTTAATTTCGGGCAGAAATGTGGGGCAGAACTTGATTAAACAAAACCACGACTCACAATGGGGTCTTTAAAAAGGCTCGTGGTTACAACTGCGTCACGGAGAGCCCAAGGAACACACTGCGCTAGAAACCTAAATGTAGACGGAGGCTGGGATATCAGCGCTTGCCGTATCCCCAACATACTTCCTCCCCCAGAAAAAAAAAACTAGGGCACCATTTCCACACCCCTTGGGGCCTAACCTGACACCATCGGGGTGGGGGGATGATAATCTTTCTAGCTCACCTACTGCAAGGTAGCTCATTTTTGGGGTGGGGGAATTATTGTTTTCCTGGCTCCTAATTCCCCCCCCGCCATCTACTCCCCCCAACCTGTGCACTTTCGTAGCACCTGCATTAAGGACGCCTTTACTTGGAGCCGTGGCCACCATCCATTAAACTGTTCCAGGCTGGAGGGAAGAAAGCCAAGCCCAGGAGGAAGGACCACAGGGCCTGGCGCTTTATTCACGGCCAAATTTCCCTCCGAGGACCAGAGGGAGGGTCACGTAGTCCTGCAGGATTTCAGAAACAAAGCCGGCGCTCTCTGTCCTCTACAGATGAGGGGTTTGCCATCTGCTGCTTACGAGCATCGGTGAGTCTCGGCCGAGTTCCGGTGGAAGGCGTACCCCGGGCAATATTTACCATACAGGAATAGGGAAGTTGGAGGCGGTCGGTCAGTTGGGGGCCTAGAGTTTCGGTGGGCCAAACAGTGTTGCTCCTTCGATCTTGCCCAACTTGACCACAGTGGCGACAGTGCCGAGGCTGACGCAGGCGGCTGTGCCGACGGCGAAGCTGTGAGCTGAGAAGAGAGAAAGGATGAGAATCAAGAGGCGCCGGGAGGGGACATGGGGGGCGGAGGGCCCCGGCACGCTCCCCCTCCCCGAGGGCTGGCCGAAGAATCAAAGGCCAAGATCACCAACCTCTGGCCCCAAACATGGTGCCCGCGGCACAGCCTCCGGCAAAGTAGTTGAGGGGGCTGTCGGGATCCTTGCTCGCCTTCGCGGTGGTGCACGTGACTGCCCCGAAAATGGCGCCCACAGCAGCTGCGGAGAGAAAGAGAAGGGGTGGAGAAGCAACGAACCCAGAGAAGAGACCAGCCCGGAGTTAGGAGAAAGCAGCAACTTGGGGGGGGGTGTCCGGTGCCAGCCACACGGAACCCCATCCTGCTCATTTCGCAGCTGGGCCGGAGCCACGAATTTCAGGCTGGCGAGCAGGCCATGGAGGCCAAAACCGCTTCCCATCCGTCAACCCACAGGAACCAGGGTAGACTGCTCCTGGACCAGGCGGCTTCTCTTTCCCACCCTGGCCTCACTTCCTAGGCCCCCAATTTACTGAACCCTCTTTGAATCCGCTCGGGGTCCCTGAACTAGGCTCCTTGAACAGCAGCTGGAAATCAAAAGGCTCCTCCAGTTCAAGACCCCCTTCCAACCGTTTCCCCACAATGTGAGGGACCTCAAAAGGGGTGGGTGGGTGTTTTTCTGGGTTTTTTCCCAGAAACAAATGGTTATTTTAGATCTCTTAAACTTAAATACATAATGTCTCAGAAGTCTTTAACTAAGGTCTTCTTGTTATAGAGTTTGAATACTATGCCACTGCCATACTATTTATCATTGTAAAAGAATGTATTCCACACTTTTTCCAGAAAAAACAAGAACAAAAAATGGCTTTGGGAAAAACAATCTGTTTATTCCCCAATTTTTCCATTGTTTTTTCCCCCAGGCCTTCCCATCTCTAGCCATGACACCACAGGGCATCCATCCGGGCACAATAAAACAAGAAATTTATTTACTTTATTTATTTAAAACATTTTTACCCGGACTTTCTCCTTAAAAGCATCCTCCTCAAAAGGACAATATTTAAAACCTTAAGAATAAGAAGTGTCCAAATATTTTTTTAAAAAGAATTAAAACAGTAAATAAAATTTATATGAAAAGGACATTTAAAAGCAACACCTTTGTTTACAACAGCCATCCCAAGCGCCGGGACCGAGACGAGGAGAAGCAAACCCCACCACTCAGGGAAAACCCCAGACAGCAAGCAAGCGCCTGTGCTCAGCGCCAGGGCTGGGGACCCTGCGGACCAGCCCCAGGCGGGACTTACCCATGGTGAGGGTCGTGGACGCCACCCTCTGGACCGACTTCAAGACGATGTCTGATGGGTGGAGCACCACCTGGCAGGAGGAGGCGAGCAGACCTAAAGGCAAGCCACAAGCACAGGATGTTTTATCTATTTATTTATTTATTTTATATCCTGCCTATCTAATCATTAAGACTACTCTAGGACGTTGACACAACCCGCCCCACCCCCAATCAGCCATCCATCGTCCAGCAGAGATGGGCAACCAGGGGCCTTTTCCTTCAGCGCCACTGACTGAGAATCATGGGACTGGGAGTTCCCGGCCTCCAGAGGGCCTCGGATTTCCTCTCGCCCACGTCCTGGCTTTCACACAGCAGGGCCTTTTTCTTGGTGGTGGCTCCCAGAGACAGTGAAACTCCATGCCACTGGAGAGGTCAGGCTGGCCCCTCTGGGCTCTCCTTCCACAAGCAGGCAAAGACTGTGTGTGTGTTTGTGTGCTGTGTGTGTGAGTAACTTGCAGGCAGGGGCTGGCTTGGGTGGGATTTGAGGGGGGAACCTATTCTCCCTACGAACTACAACTCCCAGAATTCCCAGCAGCCAGCTAGCCAAGCCTCTCCCGGAATGTGGAGCCAATCTGGAGCAGGAAAGAGACGTACAGTATCGATACCGCGCCTTCCCCTCGGTGGGGCCGGGCAGGACCCGAGAAGCCCAGCACCTCCACCTCCCCTCAATCCGGATTCACTCCGGATTCCAGAATCCCCCCCAACCCCCAAATCCGGATTCACTCCGGATTCCGCTCTGGAGCGACGACCTCCCCCCTCCCCCGCCCGAGGCCCTCCTCACCGACGACGGCCGAAAGGCTAGTGGTGACCGAGATCTTCTTGGGGCAATTGGTGCCCTCTGGGTCCTTCCAGTACTCGGACATCTTGGTTCCCTTCTCTCCCCAAGTCTCGCGAGAGTGGCTTGGAGTCCGCCGGGGGAAGAGACACGTACCGCGAGAGTTCCGTGGGGGAAGAGGGAGAGAGTGTGGGCGGTCCTACGCGCCGGCCAGTAGCCGCTCGAGGAGATGAAGGAGGCGTGGCTGCACTCGCCGTCCTTTGCTTCCTTATTGGTCGAGGAGCTGAGAGTAGGCGGGGCTCCCTCGCTTGCGGCGAGGGCGCGGAAGGGCAGGAAGGAGGGGCTCGGCTGCGGCGTCGGGGCGTGTTGGTGAAGGAGGGCGTGGCTTCCTCCGGGGCGCCGCCCCCTTTCTCGGAAGGGGGCGTGGCCGGGGCGCTCCACCATGTCGGCCTCGGGCGCGTCGAGCTCCCCGCCGACGGCGGTGCAGATCCGGGAGGCGAACGCGCACCTGGCCGCCCTCCACGAGCGGGTGGCCGAGCTGGAACGGCGCTTGGCGGCGGCCGAGGGAACGGTACGCGGACAGGCCGAGAGCCTCATCCGGAAGGACGCCGAGATGCGACAGGCGGTGCTCGGTCTCCGCCAGGGGAAGGACCGGTAGGACTACAAGCCCCATCGTCCCCACCCCGCCCCCCTGGAGGAGGAGCAGCAGCGGCGGCGGCGGCGGGGGGTGGGATACACACGAGGGGACCGGGAGCCCCGCTTGGTCTCCCGTGAGCGGCGTAATGCTCCCCTTTCCTTTCTCTCTCTGGACTACAAGTCCCATCGCCCTCTATGCCAGGCCGCAGGAGGAGGGAGGCTTTCTGGGAGTTGTGGTCCGTCTCCCTCCCCCCTTCCTCAGGGCAGGGAAAAACATATCCCCCCTTCTCTTTCCCTCTTTTGTACTACAAGTCCCATTATTCTCTAGGCCAAGCAGGCTGAGGCCGTGGGGGGGCAGGCACATTCTGGGAGTCCATGGGTCTTCGTGGCCTTGGCTGGGAATGTGGGTGTGGGATTCTGGGTTGAAATCCTAGGAGCCCTCGGTATCTATGGCCTTGGCTGAGGGGTTGGAGATTCTGGGTTACGTAGCTGGGGAAGGAAAAAAGCATTTCCATCCTCTGGGTGGGTTGGGATCGGTGCCCTCCAGAGGGGTTCCCAACTTCGCCATTCTGTGATTCTCTCCAACCCAACAGCAGGTCCTTGACATGTGGGAATATATATATATATATATATATAATACTTACTTAATTCCTTTAAAAATATTGTTCTCCTCCTTTTTTTCAGTTTCTAAATGTTGTCTTTTCATTTAGATAAATATAAAGCAATCCATGAAATGTTTAAAAAAATTCCTTTAAAAATATTATTCTTCTCCCTGTTTTCAGTCTCTAAATGTTGTCTTTTCATTTAGATATATATAAAGCAATCCATGAAATGTTTAAAAATGACCTCAGAAGGCTTTCCTTATCTCTTTCCGCTTCCTCCCTCCCTGGGCAGGGAAATTGCCACCTTGGAGGAGAGGCTCCAGTCCTCCGAGGCGAACACCCAGAAGCTTTTGCACATCATCCAGGAGAAGGACAGCCTGATCGGGCAGCTGAGGCACCGGAGCCGCCTCCTGAGTAAGATCTGCCGGAGCCGCCCCGTCCTGGACAACCTCCTGGCCTACATGGCCGAAGGGGAGCGCTTGAGCCCCGTCCTCCCGGCCAGCTCCCCTTCGGACCACGACCCCTTGCCCGAGACCGATGGCCTCCCGGATCTCGAGTTGGACGCCAGAGACTTCTCCCTGAGCGGGGAGGATGATCCCGATTCGGAGATTTTGTTCGGCACCACGGTGTAATAGAAAGGGGGGGGTTGTTGTCCTCGGCTTCCTCTTCCCGGAAGTCTTGAGCGTCCTTCGGCCACGTCCCCTCTGGGCGGGAGTCCAAAAGCGGGCAGTGGGAGGATTCCCCTTTCGTACCCAGCCTGAAGAAGCCAGAGTGGGAGGACTTGAAACCGGATTGGGGTCCAAGCGCTCGGGCTTTGCCAGGTTCCTGATGGGAAAATGTCCCTTTGCCACTTAGGTATAATCCGTCCTCCGCCTTGGGAAAGGGGGGGCAGCACTGGAAAACATTGGGGGGGTGGAATTGCTCCTGAAGCCCTGCCACATTTGGCTGCCTCCCCACCCCACTCCCAAGCATCAGCAGAGAAATTCCTTGGAAGGAGGAAACTCACCCGCATCTCCAGGTGGGGGGCACATCTGATCCAGACTGGATAAGGGCCCTTTCACATGCTCAGAGAACCTCTACCTCTTGAAAAGAAGCGAGTGGGAGGGAAAGGTCTGCCTTGTTGGCTCAACACCCCCCCCACACACACACACACAAATACACCCCCTCCGAACAGCCTGGGTTTGCTGTTCCTGCTTGTAGGAAAAGTCGGAAGGCTAAATGTGAGACGGACAGATTCCCTCAAGGAAGCCACAGGCCAAGTTTGCAAGAGCTAAGCAGGGCAGTGGAGGATGGGACATGTTGGAGGTGGCTCCTTCATGGGGTCGCCATAGGTTGGAGCAACAACCCCAAGCGTTACAGCTGTGCCAGTAGTAAACCCCCCCCCCTGCCTGTGTTAGCTGGATTTCATTATAATTTTTCAGTGGGGCAGAATTTTACGACAGAAGGAAGGGAAATTGCTTAGGGGGTGGCAGCAAGTTGCCTCTAATTAATGAGGTACCGGCTGAATATGCTGAGGATGTGAATGGTCCCTCGTTAATTAACACTCCACAGCATCCATGCTATGTGTTGCACGGTCCCTGGCTCCCTCCCTTTCAAGCACACCCTGAACTACATAGGAGTAGGTATTTCTGAGGTATTTTTTAATTTAGCATTCTCAGGCAGCGGATAAGGGAATCCGCGGATACTGATCCCGCAGATAGGGGGATCCCCCTGCACTTCATTGCTGGATGGTCTTCAGAGTTGGAACACTACGATCGCCTTCCCGCCGCCTTCATTTTTGAGATGATTTGGGGGGGAGCCATTTAATTTCTAAACCTCCTTCTTTTCCACTCAGGTTTACCGAATCCTCTCTTTGCCCCGTTTGGGTTTCCCTTTTTTTCAGCACCCAGTTTTGCTTTCTAACTGCTTTCGCTTCTGAACTTGGTCCAGTCATTCGGACCTGCAAATACGGGTTACAAGCCCATCTCATCCATCCAGGGAAGCAGGTCCTGCCGAGCGCCCCAGGGACCGACCTTGGCGTAAATATGTTTCCGCTCACTGACTGTTACCTGTGCATCCACTTTTAAGTGCCTACAAGGGATTTTGTTACACCAGGTTTCCAATCTAACGTGTACCTTCTTAGAAGCATAAATAAACGTATTTTTGGTATACTTGACCTGAGTGTGAGGCCTGGTCTCTGAAAAACTACTCTTGACCTCTTCCGTTTGCTTACCTGGCATCAGCTGGCCCCGATCTCATTCAATCATCCATCCATTCATCCCATTTATCTTTTCACCCTGCCTTTATCCTTCAAAAAAAGGACCCCAGGTGGCTTACATCATTAAAAGACATTATTTAAAGGGTAACAGCAAGGAGTATACAAATACTAAAAAAGGTCTAACAAATACCATCTCAAAAACATAAGCAACCTTCAAAGAAGTAAGGCAAAACAATCTATGTACTTAAAAACACCACTCGGGCAGCCACATAGGGAAAGCTTGTCTTCAGAGGGAGCCCTGCGTTTTTTTCCCTCTCTAGAGTCGGTGGCCGTGTTTCTGCTGACAGCAATCATGTTTGCTTTTGGGTGTGTTCAACTGTAAGCAGCAAAACCTTTTAGTTCTGTCCGCTCTCCAAGTCTCAGAGCAAGAGGTTGAGACTGTAAGTGCCAGTCGATGAGGAAGAAGGGCGTGGACTCTCGTTGTCTGGGGGATCTTGAAGCTCTTCAGCCTTCTGAATCCCTGCGCTTCTGCTGGGCAGCAAGAAGCATTTGAGCAGAAATCTCAAACTCAGCGACACAAACCCCAGCCGCTTCACTTGATCACCGCAGGACGGCCAGCCTGTCGCAGGAGGGGGGCACACCGTAAAACCTTTCTGTCGGTTTACAAAGCGGTATTTGTTGCATTTCAGAAACTGTGTCCCCGAGAAGGCCAGCCAGCATTCACCCATCCAAAATTTTGTCCTCCTCCAAAATTCTCCTTGGAAGGAAAACTTTTCGTCCGAGACCACCAAGAACGTTCAGTTTTGGGCTTGCAAGTCTGGGAACCATCTCTTATTTTGGGTCTCTGCTGCTTTTTTATTTTATTTTTTTAACATCCTGGATGGCTCTCCTCCGAGCATCTCCAGGATAAAAGCGAGGCGGAAGGGGTGATCCGATCCATGGTTCTTTCTTGGAATGGGTGGAAATCTTTCCCTCCTGGATCGTGGGACGCCTCCAGGCTGGGTTGCTGACGTTTTCTTCCCGCGGGGCCCTGGCCAGCGCCTGCTGCCTCGAAGGTGCCAGCTTCCGCCTGGGGACCGTTGCCACGTCCTCGCTGAGTTTTTTCCTCCCCGCTGGGAGAGGCATTGCTATGGTGACCGGGTAGGCACAACTCCAGCCAAACCCGGCAGCCAGTCTGGGACGGCAGAGGCTTGGAGAACGCCGAGGAAGAAAGCCACAACAGGCTCCAGGTAGGATCCGGTTTTGGGGGGAGAAACGGTTGAAAAGCCAGGATTTTCCAAGCTGGCCCCGCAGAAACGAGGCAAACCACATTCTGGGTTTGATTTTTAGGACTTTCTCTCCCCCAGCTTGGGGAAGAGTCTGGTGTGGCTCGAAAGCTCGCTGTTTTTATTTTTTTATTTTTCCCAGCGGGCTGAGAAAGCCGTCTGCTCTTCCTTCCTATCAGAGCATTGCAGTACTTAAAATGATGGACCTGTGTGAAATCTAGGTAAAATTAGAAACAAATTAAAAGATCGAGGCACTTAAGACAATTTTGCCACCAGAAGTGGGCTATTCTGTTATCTGGACCCTGTGATAGATCTTCGTAGGCCAGATGAGGCGCACATAAATGGCCTGCACTGAAGTGAATTGAATTTCTCCACAGTCACCAAAGGTTTATCCTGCCTCCATCTTGCCCCCTTTTGCTTGGTTAGTCTTTGGTTTCCCTTACCTAGGAAGGAAGCGAGTAAGAGACTCAAGGGCCCCGATCTGAAGAGCCTCTTCCTGTGGCAGGCGCTCCTACGCCGTGAAAGGAAGGTCTTGAGGATGGAGACCGGCCGGCGTGCCCTAGACAAGCTTCGAGCCAAGTGCCTAGAAAGAGGGGCTTCGGGGATCATGGGACTGGCCAGGTATGCCGGGGGTGTGTGTATGTCGCTGGGGGCAGCACTGCGCTTGATCTCTCCGATAAAAACCACCAGTTTGCAACCGTCTAGTTTTTGCCTTCTGGAAGAATTACATAGCTCAGGGGTTTTGGTGTGTGGCTGCAGATCCTTAGGTTGAGAATTCGACTCCTCCTTTGTCTGGGCCTCCTTGACAAAGGCTGGATGGGATGATCTACGGGGAGGGATATAAAAGTCAAATAAATGAATGAATAAATCTATACGATTCCAACCAGTCCTGTGGTTCTAAGATTATCATTGAATTTCTGAAGAGCTCAGGGGGATTGAGGGTCTCTGGCTGTGGAGCTATAGGTTGGGAGTTCAAATCTCCCACTGGGCCTCCCTTACGGGCTGGGCTGGATGATCTCGAGGGTTCCTCCTGGCTCTGCCGTTTTTAGCTTATTCTCAATGTGCAACTTCCTATTTTCGCAGGGGTTGACGCCCTGCCTGTTTTTGCCTCGTCACCTCTCCTTTCTGATTTTTTTAAAGAGCGCGGCTCTTTCTGGAGATGCATAAACTACTTTCCCACTAGAGACGATGATGATCATCTGTGGTGGTTTGGCTAATCATGCCAACGTCCCCAGCTAGGAGTACAATACAAGCAAGGCTGTAAATAAAGGGGAAGGCACCAACCTTGACAGTTCCCCCAGGGATGAAAATCTGGAGGCAAATCTACTAATGAATGCTTGGGGGGAAAAAAATCACTTCTTGGCCTCAACTCAGGGCGTCGTTACACTGCTGATCATCAGCTCCGATGCAGTTTAAATTGATTTACAATCACATCGTTGTTGGGTTTTTTTGGGGGGGGGAATTGATGGGCGTGTTGATTTTGAACATTCTTACTCCGCTAGAAAGTAGGGGTTTAAAACAGCTGTGGGAAACTACGCACAAGGTTTTACGTCGTTTCAAGCATGTTGGCAGACCATGCTTTCAACAGGTTTATTTGGTTCCAGGCGTCTCTTGGAATGCTTCCATTTCTCTTTTATTCGAAAACATAAAACAGAAGTGGCACAGCGCTACAGTACTAAAGTTTACATTTTTGGAATTATTTCGGATGGATGGTCGTGTCGCTCCTCTCTGAAACTTGGACTGCTTAACTCACCTTGTACAAGTGAAAGTAAATTATTTATCCGAAGCTGGATTCTGAAAGCAAAGGAACATTTTAGGGTCTCCCTGGAGCACAGTAAAGAACAGCGGGGAGTAAAACCAGTCCGAGATCTCAATGTCAGTGGGATTTGGGGATTTACAGTCACCCCAAAAGTAACTTTTCGAGTTCTTAATCAGGCACATACGTTTTTCCTGCTTAACTCATTACAAAAGAGAGGTTTCAAACTCATTTTCTTTCTCTCTCGTCACAGGTTTTTCCGCAATATGGATGACAACAGGAGTAAAACGTTGGACCTTGAGGAATTTCGAAAGGGTCTACAGGAAGCTGGGGTTCCCCTAGAACAGGGGGACGTGGAGGAGGTTTTTAGCCTCTGTGATAAGAACAAGAGCGGGATGCTGGACTTCGATGAGTTCCTGGAGGCCTTGCGGGTGAGCAGAGCTCCATGGGAGGAGATTGAGTACTGTAGTTTGGTTAAGCAGGTTGCGAATTCAAAATATTTCTCATCTGCTTCTCTTTAGCCCCCCATGTCCAAAGCCAGGAAGGATGTCATTGGTGATGCATTCCAGAAACTGGACAGGACTGGGGATGGACTGGTAACTGTGGAGGACCTCCGGGGGGTGTACCACTGCCACGGGCACCCCAAGTTCAAGAGCGGGGAATGGACGGAAGATCAGGTGTTCCGGGCCTTCCTGGACAACTTTGACTCCCCCGGTGACAAGGATGGGAAGGTGATGTCCATATTTTGAATTTTGGTGAAAATGCACTTAGTGGCACAGCCGAAGGGCAAGGAACCGCAGAACAGAATAGCTTCAAGTTCTCCGTAAAGTCCATGCCTTTTCTCATTAACTGGCAGACCAAAGTTTACCAAGCTAGATCCTGATCACCTGAGTCTCTGTTCCCCCACATTTTAACCCCTAGATCTCCCTTCAGGACTACACAATCCGAGCCCAGTGAAGACCTTTCCATTTATCTGCATGATATTGTAATTCTGTCCACATACAGTGGTGCCTTGCTTAACGATTACCTTGTTAAACGACAAATCTGCTTTACAATGGTTTTTTTGCGATTTCCTGTGGGGAAAAGTCACTTCACGACGATTGGTTCCCTGCTTCAGGAACTGATTCTTCGCATTACGATGATTTCTAAACAGCTGATTGGCGGGTCGCAAAATGGCCACCCGCTGTGCAAAATGGCTCCCCGCTGTTTTTAGGACAGATTCCTCGCTATACAGGCACCGGAAAATGGCCACCCTCTTGAGGATCTTCGCTGCACGATGAGGTATTTCGCCCACTGGAACGCATTGAACGGTTTTCAATGCATTTCAATGGGTTTTTTTTTATTTCGCTTGATGATGATTTCGCTTAACAGTGATTTTAATGGAACGGATTGACATCATCAAGCAGGGCACCACTGTATGTTACAAAGAGGATTTTCCTCCGAAGTAGTGAAGACAGAGTTTTTTTTAAAAAAATCCATCTTTCTTTTGTGATTGGTCATCAAGAGGTAACCATGGGCATCTTTTGAAATTCAGATGGCTTGGTCTGGGAATCTGTGCAGGGGAGAATGAATGTGTTATCAGCTTCTAATTGCAAAGCTCCAATATTTCACAGGCCTGGAATAAATCGTAAGATCTCAAAGTGGAAGGGCTTGGGGGAAATAACCGTTCCTCAGTCAGGTGGCATATAAAACAGTCACGCGAAGGGACAGACAAAAAAACAACCTTGTAACTTTATAATGTATAGATTTATTTTTATCAGGCGTACTTGCTTTTAATCACGATGGAAATCTTGCCTTGCACTTCTCCACAGATCACAGCCGAGGAATTCCTGAACTACTACAGTGGCGTAAGCGCTTCGATCGACAGCGATGAATATTTTGTGGACATGATCAAGTCAGCCTGGAAGCTGTAGGGGGCCCAGCTTGAGCCGCTCACTCCCACATGGGGAAGCTTAGACAAGATTACACAGATTCCGTAGCAGATTCTCCAGGGACCTTTTATCTGCAGGGAACGCTGGCTCTGAAAGCAGAACCTGGTGGCCCAGATGGGTGCCCTGTCAAAGGCTCCTCTATTCTAGATGAAAAACCTCACAGCTAGAAAGCTAGCTAGTGTTCCATTACCTTGATGCTTTCACTTCATGGGATCCGCCCTCTGAGTAAAATGTATGTATGCAACATTAGACTTGGCTCTCCCGACTGTTGTTTCCAGAAGGCGATCTAGAATGCCACACCATACTGAGATATACTCTTCCTTTTTAAATTCCAGGCAGTTGGGTGGAGAAAGCAGTGCAGGCCAGGTTTTTGGAAGGAGAATCTCTCTGACCCTTTATTCACCTTCTCACCCACCCGAACACCTTTGGGAAGCATCACCCTTTTACAGGAAAGTAACCTTCCATTTGCTGAGTAAACCAGCAGGTTTAGGAGAGAGGATTGAAGTGCCTTTAAAGATGCTCCCCTTGGAACGGATGATGCTTTCCACCTCTATTTCAACACTTTTAAAATGATGTACCACAGGGTTGTAATTCCACGTGGCAGAAAGTTCTACCGCACTTAACGGGCGGTGGTAGAGCAAGGTGGCACATGCTGCTGATTTTATAAAATTCAGCCAAAATTAGAGGTTTTATAGCATCAAGACTCAGTCCAGGATTCTAAACCATTGCTTATTGGGAGAAAAGCAACAGATAAATATATAATAATCAGGAGTAAGATGTACTATAAGACGTAGAAAGGCCATTTTCATATAAATGACATGATTCAGCTATCAAAAGAATATATATACCTATCACTGATGGCTAATAATGTGACTCATTCAGACCTCGGCTCATCTCCGGCCAGGTTAAATGGCTTCAGAAAGGTTTGTAGCCATGGGCAATTTTGAGTGAAGCCACTCCGCTTCTGTTCGGCCATTTCTCCATCAACAAAAATATGATCAGAAATGAATCCATTTCAAGCAGTAGGGTAGGATTCTCCATATCCATGGGGGATTGGTTCCAACCCCTCTCACAGATTGTGAAAAACATGGATTATAGCAAAGGCTATATTAATAACAAACACCATAGATAGCATGATTTCTGGGTCCCTCTGTTTCTTCATTCACATGCTTTGTTGTGCCGTGTTGTACTATGGGGTATACACAAGGTGAAATAATGACAGCAGCAGCAGAGGAATGTGGAGCCCGGTTCTCCTGTCACACCCCCTCAGTTTCTTTTCATTCACAAAACTAGCACTTTGTGCGATAAAATCATCAGAAGAATTTATGGTGGAAAAAAGTATCTTTACTTACAGTTAGCATCTATAGTTATAATAAGAAGAACAAAAAGGTAAAAAGGGACTCTCCAGGCTTGAAGAGAGTATGCATGCTTGTTGTTCATCACATGGTCAGGGGAAGAAGGAAGGGCCGTCAACAAGAACAATGAAAGCAGGAACAAACAAGAAGAGCAGTAGTTCTGTTGGGTGTAGTTGTGGTCACCAGGCGCAATAGTTTTCCTACAGCTTTTCTGTAGTCGCTGTTATTTGGAAGAGCTTCACTTTTCTCTCTGCCTTTCAGGAGGTGTTTTGGCCTGGGTACTACTACAGAATTGGACATCTTGGATGTTCAAAATGTCCACATCTGATTTAGCAAACACCCTCCTTTTCCATGTGAGCCTCCAGATAGCATGTTGCATCCCCTAACTCTTGGATTCCCATCTCTTTGTTAAGATGCTGCACAATCTCCTTGTACTCCTGCTCCTTCTGTGTCGCCACCACAAGGTCATCCCCATAGGTGAGGATAAACGATAAAGATCTGTTTTGGCTTCGGCTGTACAAGCACGGATCCCCATGATCCTGCTTGAAACCTTCTTGCAGCAGTACCTGCTGAAATCTCTCCTTCCAGGCCTGAGCAGCTGGATTGAGCCCATGCAGGTCTTTCTCTAGTTTGCAGACAAAATCGGGATGTTCCTGGTTAAGGAAACCTGGTGGCTGTTCCATGTATAAACCCTCTGCAATCTCTCCTTGCACAGAGGCAGACTTGACCTCTAGGCGCTTGACCTGCATCTGTTTGGAGGTAGCAACGCTCAGGAGCATCCGGAGGGTGCTTTGCTGGACGACAGGAGCCAAGTCCTCTCCGTGTCTCGAGAGGAACCCCTCGGCGACCAATCTGGCCTGGTAGCCATGCGCTCCTTGGTCTCCACCCGGCTTCACTGTGAAGAGCCACTTGCACTTAATGGCTGTCTGGCCCGGGGGCAGTTTCGTCAGGGTCCACACCTCCTTCTTGTGGAGTGCTTCTACCTCTTTCCGTGCAGATTCTCTCCACCTGGTGCCTTCTGCTCCCGGCATCTGTTCCACTTCTTCCCAAGTTTTCGGCTCCTCCCTCGGCAATGGGTCTGTGGAATCGCCGAGATGAGGCGAGGCCCCGTCGTCGAGCTGCGACATGTGCCTGAGGGCTGGCTCTGGAGCCTCTTGGGGTGCCAATGCCTTTTCCAGTCCAACAGCTTCAACATTTCCATCTCTGTCCCCTTCTCCTGGTGTATGGCAGTCATCCTCTGTGCCATCATCTTCCTGCACTCTGATTGACTCAGACTGTCCAGGCGCTGAGGCTGCTGTGTTTTGGGGAAACTCAGGATAGTGGTTTTCCCCTCCAAAGGCATCTAACACAGTGCCTCGCTTGCCAGTGCCCCGCTCCCTGACAAAATAATTCATATCAGTTGAGCAGTTGCTCCCTGTTTTTAAATCCCTTATAATATAGCGTTTCATGTGGCTGTAGCCAAGGAAAATCAATTGTTTTGCTTGAGACTCACGGCTGTGCCTATCCCATAGCCCGGTATAAGCCGGGCTCCCAAAGATTCGGAGGTGTTTGACACGCGGAAGCATGCCATACCATAATTCAAACGGTGTTTTTCCAGAGCCTTCGGCTGGCAATCTGTTCAGGAGATATGCTGCAGTCATGATTGCCTCGCCCCAAAATTTGTCGGGCAGCTCTGCATCGGCAAGCATGCATTTGGTCATCTCCAAGAGGGATCTCAGGCCCCACCTGGCCATTCTGCTCTGCTCAGGAGCGTCTGCCACACCCTCCTCGCACAAAATGCCTTCTTCCTCCAGATCGGCCTTTATATGGGGCCAGAGGTATTCGTCTCTATTGTCTATCTGAAACGCCTTGGGGTTCCTGTTAAATTTATTCCTCGCAGTGCCTACATACCTCTTGAAAGGGTAACGTATCTCTGTCTTCTTCCTCAAGAGGAAGAGGACACAGTACCTTGAAAAATCGTCCACAAATATCAAAACGTATCTCTTGCTCTTGAGGGACGGCACACTCATCGGCCCATACAAATCGGTGTGGATTAACTCCAGCACCTGGGTGGTCCTTCTCTCAGGCCCGGGTGGGGAGGAGGGCCTGTCCCCTTTAACTTTGAGACAGACGGCGCACCCGGCTGCGCTGCTTGCATCACTTTCCTTTATCTCGAGGCCTATCACAAGCTGGCGCCTGTGCAGCTCGAGGATTGCCTCGGAGTCTCGGTGAGCAAAGCGACGGTGCCAGAGTGCCAGGCTGCTGACATTCTCTTTCGGGGCTTCTGCTGCGTTTGTTTGGTGGGCTGAAAGAAGTTAGTTGGGAGACACCGTTAGATTCAAGAGCTGAACGCCTACTTCATTGTTTTTCTTTACTACTTTCCCTCTGTTGTTTTTTTTAAATTACTGTATAAGACATGCACACTTGTCTCCGGGGGAATCAACGTTCTCTGGCTATTTGGGCCTTCCTACCCCAAGTTCAGCAGGAACTTGGCTTACTCCTGGGAGGAGCTTTCTTATTACTATTCACTGGGTAATTTGACCCATTTTCTCGGGGCATTCATTTGTTCTATGCATTCCAGCACCTCTTCAAACTTCCCATTCAGAACAGATATGAAAACACCAAATTTTGCGCTCAATGTTGCTAAAAGGAAGCCCACTGTTTATAGACCAAATTACATTTGGTCAGGTTTAAGTAATTAGATATATAATAAACAGTTATGTGCTCTTCACAGTCCTGTTTAAAATGAAGCCCCAGGCTCACCGGTTCTCTGAACAAGACATTCTGTGACTTAAACCTGAGAAAGCCATAGGATTCTTCTAGGGCATTTGGCATGTCTTTGGCAGATTTGTATTTCTTTATGTATACAATTTTCTCATCAGATTAGTTTTAATACCTAGAAAGTAATAAAACTATGGGTAAGCTATCTCTCTCAGCCAAATGACTCTGTGTGGGTAAAGCTACTCAGTTGGGATCCATAACCTGTTGGGAGATTTTGGTTATTGCTCTTACCAGCATATAAGGGGGAAAACGACAGCTGTACCAGAGAAATATGGAAATCAATCAAGATCTCATACCATCACCTTTCCTCCTCCCTGGTTTCTATTCACTCACAAAACTTTGTGCGATAAAATCATTCTAGAAACATTAAAAGTAGAAAAACTATTTTTACTTACACTCACCATCTCTAGTTACAGTCAGAAGAATAAAAAGGGAAAAAAAGGAATATCCAGGCTTTGAGAGAGCCTGCATGTCTGTATCTCATGGCATGATCAGGGGAAGAGCTATCAACAAAACAAGTAAAGCAAAAGAAAAGAAAAACAGGAAGAGAGGCAGGGGATTCCCTCAACTGCCAGAGGCAGGAAATGTTACCAACGGTTTGTGGCAAAGGACAGTCACATTAGATTGTAAAAGTGCCCTCCCACTGGCACTCAGTGTTAGTGCATGCAAGATTGTTATTCACCCAACAGGAATTGACTACAGTTGCAACTAGGGTGAAGTATCTCAAAGCCTGTTAAAGAGGCTTGCACTCAAAGGGTGAAGTTTGAACATTGTAATTTTTGACATTTCTGCACATGTATAAAAGGATGTAAACCGATGGTGGTTAGGTCTGTGCCACTAACAAAGATTTGTGATCTGCAATTGAGACCTGTATTCCCATAGAATATATTATTTGGAGTAGCCAGGTTCCACTAAAGGAGCCCCGTGCTTAAAAAACAAAAAAAGGCGAGAGGAGTGTGTAAAAACAAACAAACCCTGAGACCCTCAGAGAAACACTGTTCACATGTAAAGCCCAGGGCCGTTTAGAACCCCTCATAACCTAATCGAGATAAATGTAGTACTAGCAATATCCTCACCAGACATCCGCTCCTGAGCATCGTCATGCCGGGGGCGAGCACCAAATTTCATGGAGTGCAGTCTTTGACCCACAACTTTAGATCTGCGGGCTGCAGCATTTCTCACGTTCAGATTCTTGGGCTTGTCTTCAAACACAGGGAAACTCTGGATCTTATCTTTCCAAAGGTTCCATTTGTTTCGGGCAGAACGCAGTCTGCCAGCGCTCTGGTGGGAGAGGCCGGGCTTCTTGGTCTTCAACTGCTGGTTGATCATTTTAGTGACCTGCGAACGGTAATGCCGCGAGAGCCTCTGGTTGATGCTCCCGATGTAACGGATTGTACGCCGGACCAACATTTCCAGCTTCCAGGGATCCACCCTCTCCTGCTTTTCTATGGCTACTTCAGCCATCTCATAGATGGTCATGGCTGGCCCCAGCATGTTCAGCACCTCCTCGTGCATCAAGCGCAAGTAACGTCCTGATCCCAAATCTACATTCACTTGTTTTGCTGCCAGCCAATCCTTGATGCTAGGGTTCAGTTCAGGGGTCTCCGAACACCGGTCCGGCAGGGTGGGCCTGGGGCAGCTGGCCAGGTAATGTTTCTGGACATTTTTCTTCATGACAGATTGGCACTGGTTCCAGAAATACACCACCTCCTCCTGCGGGACCCAATTGTTGGGACGATCCCGAACAGCACCCAACTCTCCCAGGAGGCTCTCCGTAACCGCCCGGCCTTCTTTCGGGTTCCATTCTTCTCGGAAACTGGAAGGACCCTGCAAGTCTTCCAGGTCTTTGTCGGGGTATGGAGGCGTCCCAAGGCGTTCGCCTCCAGTCCAGCTTTTGGGCTCCTTTCCTCTCCGCTCTGGGCTGTCCCATGTGCTTTCGCCCTGGTCCCAACCCAGCTGGCTTGGGAGGCTGGAGCTGGCAGGATCCTCCAGGCCCTCTGCCAACACGCAGCTTCCCCAGGGCCTTCGGACTCCAGCAGGACCCCCTTGGCCCCTTTCTCTGCTGGGATTGCGCCAACTCCCTTCCTCTCCAGGAAAGGTGGGGAGGCCTCCTTGACTTCCCTCAGGAGCCCTCCACCTCTCTGCGCTTCCACCCCTCTTCCTTGGGTGCTGGTCCTTTTCACGGTAGCTCCACTCCTGGCCCCGATCCTGCCTCGCCTCCCCCCCTGGGGCCCCTCTACTCCTGAAGCTGGTGTTGCTGCTGCTGGACCTCTCCAGGTGACATTCGCCCATCATCCTTCCACTGGGGAGATGCTGCTGCTTCTGATGCTGCCACTGCCGCCCTTCCTTCTCCTCCTTGCAGCTCCTCTGCGGCCCTTCAGCCCAGTGCTCCCCCTCCCTACGGGGGCTGGCCCCCCACCTGCTGCTTCTCTCCGCCTCCCCCCTTCCTGAGACAGGGAGGAGGAGGCTGCTCCTGGAGGAGACGGCGGTGCTGCGCCAGGCCCCCTCTCGGGGGGCGCTGGGGGAGGAGTCCCTCCAGCCGGAGTCTGACCCCCGAGGGGGCTCCTCTGCGGCCCTTCAGCCCAGTGCTCCCCCTCCCTACGGGGGCTGGCCCCCCACCTGCTGCTTCTCTCCGCCTCCCCCCTTCCTGAGACAGGGAGGAGGAGGCTGCTCCTGGAGGAGACGGCGGTGCTGCGCCAGGCCCCCTCTCGGGGGGCGCTGGGGGAGGAGTCCCTCCAGCCGGAGTCTGACCCCCGAGGGGGGCTCCGCTCCTCCCGACTTCCTCCTCCTCCTCTTCCGGGAAGGGCCGCTTGCGCCGGGGACGGGCGTCGATGTCGTGGTCGCCGTAGCCCCACGACCCCCGAGGCGGAGATTCGCCCAGGCCGTAAGACGCCATGGCTTCTGCCGCGCGGGAAACCGCCACCGCCTCCCTCTCCGGAAGTCTACCTCGCCACTTCCGCTCTGGACCGGAAGGGGCGTTGCCCGGCAACCGGTCCACCGCCCAATTCACTCCCCGGGAGCACAGAGCGGCTCAACCGCCTCTCGGCTCCTTTTCTGAGAAAGAGAATCCGGAGGAGGCAGAGCTGCTCTAGCTAGCCCTTCCCACGCTGGTCGGGTGGGGAGGAGGGGGGGAGAAGAAAGGCCGGAACCTATCAGGAAGTCATTCCTGTCCCACCCGGAAAGACCGGAAGTGGCGAGGTAGACTTCCGGAGAGGGAGGTGGCGGCGGTTTCCCGCGCGGCAGGAGCCATGGCGTCTTACGGCCTGGGCGAGTCTCCGCCTCGGGGGTCGTGGGGCTACGGCGACCACGACACCGATGCCCGTCCCCGGCGCAAGAGGCCCTTCCCGGAAGAGGAGGAGGAGGGGGAAGAAGGCGGGTGGCGAGGGGTCGCCCCCCCCTCGTGGAGTCCCTCGGAAAGGAGGGGGTCGCGAGAAAAGTCCCGGGCG